CCATCCATCCATCCGTCCATCCATCCATCCATCCATCCATCCATCCATCCATCCATCCATCCATCCACCTATCATCCATCCATCCCTCCATCCATCCATCCATCCATCCATCCATCCATCCATCCATCCAACCATCCAACCATCCATCCATCCATCCATCCATCTACAGAACTATTTACCATTACAGAAGTGAGTTCCCCTCCTTAATTTCCTCACATGTAACCGGACACGCCGTTCTGTCAAAGCAAAGGTTGATTTTTATCATTTAACAGAGGAGTCATGAGTCTGGAAGTATATTTCCTCTGGCTCCGTGCGCGTAGCGATGGAGGGATTGTGCGTGATTTGAGGAGGACGAGGACACACAGGAGCATCCTTGAAATTTCCCAGAGTGAAGGGCTGACGCTGAGGGATTCCAGACCCTGGAACAGTCCTCTGGTGAGATCCGTACACGCCGTACTTTAAAGAACCCTTCCTCAACTTTGACACCTACTTGTTGTTTTTCTAAGGTTTTAATCTTTCTTTCAGCCAGTGAACTGTTTCCTGGTTGCTTAAAAAAAACGCTATTCTGTTAATTACTGCAGAAAATTGGACTTCTTTCACTTCCAAACTCGCTGAGACCATTTGTTTTAAGCTTCATGATGGCTGATCGTTGATTTATTTCTCTTTTAATCATCTCCACAAACATATCTGAGCAGCCTCACTGGTCTTTAGTTAGCAAACAGATGACAACACAAGAGCATTAAGCAGCTTTTGAGTTAAATATTCAGCTACATTCAAGCAGCTAGAAAAGAAATTTAAGGGAGTCCTTATATTTCTGTCTGCAATAACTTTATTATACTGTAAAGGGCATATAATAATTAAAATAATTAGAACATATCATAATTATAATGATTAATAAGATTTTATTTTAAATCATATTTGTTAGACTATATAATGATTACAATGTATTTATCTATGAAATATGAAAAGATAACAGCAGAGGATCTTTTTTTAGAAGTTTATTTCCCATGGTCGAAGAGTCAAAATACTGATTTAACAAAATGTTACTTCTTTTTGGAAGGGAAGGACATGTGGTCTGTTTGGAGATGTTCCTGTATGAAATGAGTGGAGGTGGACGGGTAAACAAAGTGGAGCTCCTAAAGAAAGGTGAAGTTGTTTTTAGCATAAACCAACAAGGCCAGGCCTCGTCCTCAGACCGGTTCGGTGTGTAGGTCTGAGGTTTTGCTGGACGTGGTTGCCCTCTGGTGGCCCGAGTCCACAGCTGGACTTTGGTGGCTTTTAATGGCTTTTGGTGGCTCTGAGCTGCTTGAACCAGCCCGATTGGAACCAGGTTAATTTCAAATCAGTGGTCCTGCCATCGTGTGTGAGGGTGGATCGTGTTTCTCTGTGCCTGTTTGGGTCGTTTCCCACAGAAAGGGCTCGATCTCTAACTGGAGCCCGGGTAACTAATCACCAAACCACGCAGATCTGTGAGCTCATAGCTGCACTGAGTCACCGTTTGAGCTGAGAAAAGCCTCAAAGTCTCACGATTTAGAGCTGGACTCTGTGCTAACACATGAGGCCCGGGAATAAAAAGACACAAAAAAACCCGGAGACAAATGTAAGAAACATTTAAAGGTATGTAGCGAACGCAGTTACATAAGCATTTTTTCTGTGTGAATTTATTTTATTTTGTGAATATGAACATTTTTTTACTTTTAATTCCCATTTCATATCTTTGTGTATTTTTTTATTAACATGTACATACTTTGGGAAAATATTGTAACAATTTCAGATTGGAGACGTCACCGATTGGGTCTTCACTTGATCACGTGATGCCTTTGATGGGAAGTTCTGAGTTTTGTTTATAATTAGTCTGCGTGTGCAAGAGTAAAGGCAAAGGACTGAAATATGGAAGAAATGGACTTCTAGCAACTCCTAACCTTCTGGTTGGAGGGGCATACGGTACGGACAATTTAGAGAATTTATATTTTGTTTAATAAGTTTCATTTGATAATTCATGTAAGGGAACATGACGGTTTCACTGATGAATATTTTCCACCGCGTATTTTGCAGTGTTCACGGTGGTCTTGGGCGTTTGTATGACGGAAAATCCTTTAACTAACGTTTGGAACCATCAGTTGGATACTTGCACCTGCATCAACCAGTTATAAAAAGTTGGGAGCAGCTATAAGGTATTTATAATCTAGGATCCGTGAAAATCTGCAGACAATGCGATAAGGGGGACGTTTTTATCTGCCCACAGAGGAGCACCAACTCACACATGAGGGTACACGGGGTCACTATTCCAGTTTTTACTGTCAGTCGGATCCGTTCGGATCAACTGGAGGACATTTTTATGTTTCCGGAGTCTTTTTCACGGCTTGTTTGTGTGTTCCTCTGACCTGTGGAGCTGAATTCCTCCACTGACAGCTCTCTGCTGAGCACACCGACGTGCCCCAGATAAAAAGCTCTTCCTTCCTCCATCCTGGCAGCAGATGCATCGACGAGACCTAAAAAGCAGATTTCCTGGAAATGCCAAAAGGGGCTGGCATTTCTAAAATAACAGCAAATTTCGCTAGAATCAGAGAAAAATGCGAAATACACTTCCTTGTATTGTTTGGAACGGAAGCCACAGCGAACGGACTCAGCCTTTTTTTGACATGATAGCAAGTAATCCCACGGCTCCATCAGAAGAAACCCACTCTGTGAGCAGAAAAATGAACACAACTATTGTGAAACTGATTAGAATAACAATTATAAGAAGTTTTCGACAGATCCCAAATCCAAAAGAAAATGTTTTGGATATATACAGTTGGGGAAATAAGTATTTGACCCTTTGCTGATTTTGCAGGTTTGCCCACTTACAAAGAATGCAACGATCTATAACTTTAATCATATGTACATTCTAACAGTGAAAGACAGAATCCCAAAGAAAATTCCAGAAAATCACATCATATGAATTTATAAAAATTGATAACCATCTGATGAGGAAAAATAAGCATTCTTTGTAAGTGGGATAACCTGCAAAATCAGCAAGGGGTCAAATACTTATTTCCCCCACTGTATATGTATTTTTTTCTCTGATGGGATCATCCTACCTCCTCCTCCAGGCCCACTCTGACCACTGGAGAGTGTGTGTTGTGTGGGTTGGAGTTTGTCTTGTTCAGCATTAGTCACCCAGGTTGGTGGATGAGCAGAACAAGCGAGCTCAGGTGGGCGGAAATGCCCTCGCGTCGGATCACCGAGGCACCGGGAAAACAAAGAGGAGCGTCTCGGAGACGAGGAAGCCGACGGAGAGCGGGGTTTGTCAAAACGGGCCTTCAAAAATAACACGCTGAAGCCGGGAGCCAGCCCGTTAGCATGTGTGTCCAGTCCAGATGTGGGGATGTTATATTCCGGAGGATGTTATGCCAACAATTGGGGGTAAAAAAAGAGGTTCCATGATGTTGAAGGAATGTCCAGTTTAAAAAGTCACCCTGTTAAGAAGTGAATTGATTCTGGATGAAAAGAGAAATTCAAATCAGGATTTGTTTAATTCATATTTGTTGAGAAAAATGCAGTGTCTTTCAAACTTGGTGCATTCAGATTGTAATATTTCAACATCTGGTTGTGTTTTTTCTGGACTTTGATTTAATTTTTCAGTGTTTTAATCTAGACTTCTTCTTTTTTTTAAATGTATTTCATTTTCTAAGACTTATTTATTCAATTTGTTTTGGGGATTTTTTCTCAAGTCTTGATTATTTTTTTTATTCACAGATCGGTGGTTCTGGGTTGCGGATTTTAACACCAAACTTTGTGTTAACTTGATGATTCTCTTTTCAGTTCGGAGTCGGATAAAAAAATACAGGCTGAAACAAATCGGATTCGTAACACTTTATTATGCCGGGAATGAATAATAATTTCAAACTGAATCATTTGATTGTCTCAAAGCAACAGGAATACGCTGCTCAAATGTGAGCAGATGTGCAAATCTGGGCCTGGCAATGAAGCTAATCTGAGGCCAAGCCAATCGAGTCCTGAAGAACATCCTGATATAAGCAAACTTGACGTAAAAGAAACAGATAATCGAGTATCAAAAAAACAAGTTCAAAGCCTAGAAATGCAGCTTCCTGTGATCCAGAGCTGAGACTACAACCTCATGAAAGCGCTGACAGAAAACTGATATTTCCGAGAAGTGGGAGGCGATTGCTAACGACTGAGAGGAAATTTGAAGAAGAAGAATAGCTGTGAAGTCCGTGGTTTTGTTTGTCTCCGCTCAGCCGTTAGAATTTGAGCTTGTGTTCAAACAAGGCGAGCAGCAAAAGGCAGGCCCAGCCCATCAGGAGGCCCAGGTTCTGCAGGAGGAACAGGAGGCAGGGCCTGTCGCTTTTCACCCGGCTCATCTCCGGAAGCTGGAAGAAAATAGGAGGGAAAAAACAAAAACTGACGTTACTCTGGTGCTCTGATTGGCATTGGCACACCCCTAGGCGCCTGTCTGGGCTCTGACCAGCTAATCCTATTGGATGTTGTAGACATAAAGTAAATCCTAAAACGTGTAAAGAAGGACAGCAACATGCCCACATATTAGTTTGTGTGTTTTGTCATTGATGACATCAGAGGAGGAAGGCCAAAACTATAAAAATTAGTCCTTTTATCAACACATTTAAGGTGGGATAAAACACTATAGTCTTATTTAAAGCGAAATATTGACTCATCCAGATGTAATCTGCCTTGTCTTGTTTTTCTCTTTTAAAAAAATGTTGGATGTGGATTAGATATACATTTAATGATGCCTTTCCAATGTCATTCTTTGATTAATTTCTCTCATCTCATCATTCAAACTTCAGTTCTTGTATGTGTGGGCTCTCTTGTGTTCTGTAAATGCAAAGTTTACGGATCTTTTCAGTACGTTTCTACTGTGATTTCACTTTTTTTTCGTGGAATTTCTCTGATATTTCAGCTCATCTAGGCTTGGATTTCCCTGCATGTCGTCTTTTCGTGAAAAGGAGAAACGGAGTTTCTAATAAAAGATGATTGACTATATTTAGCTGAGGCAGCAAAATGCACTTAATGAGTCTTTAGGAACAGTCTCAGTTGAAAATGGTCGAAACAGACTTTTTTTTTTGCCCTGACATTTTCTAAAAGACTCCCTGAAGACCAACTTAAAACATTTGTTGGCCTGGCAACAGGATGTTTGGTAACAAAGCTGAGAGGCTCATTTCTAATGGAATGTGTTCATTGTAATAAATCTTAATGGCCATAGCTTTTAAAAAATAGGACTGGGACACGGAGAAAAAAGAAAACCAATCTAATTGATAACCTCTTCATTGGATTCATTGACAAGTGGAAATCCTTAATATTTATCTTCCTTTTAAGAGGCTACCTTACCATTTCAACCAGTGACAGGTACAGAAATATCCCGGCAGTGACGGAGAAGATCCACTGCTGAACTTCCGTCTCCGTGGAGACGAAGAGCCCGATGTAGAGGCCCACGAAGGCGGTCAGGGCACTGAGGAGGTTCATCATCACGGCCGTCTTCACGGACAGTCCGGAGCTGAGCAACACAGCAAAATCCCCTTAAAGATAAAACCAGCAGCGCGTTGGACAGCCGGCCAGAGCCTCAGACCCCCCCCAGACCAGTGTTTTTCAATCTTTTTTGAGCCAAGGTACAGTTTTTCATTGAGAAAATTTCAAGGCACACCAACAACCAAAAATGTTAAACAAATCTGTAGCCGCCTAGAGTAACACTATAGTTATTCTTATTTTATTCTTATCTTATCTTAAGTGTCTCGAATAGAAATCAAATAAATAAAAAAATGTTTTTTTATCTTATTTTATATTTCTTCTTTCAAATTGCACTTAACATGTCCACTTCAATATGCAAAATTATATACAAAATCTAGTCATAAGGAATTATTACATGATTACGCCACCGGTCACTACTACAGCACAGACATTCAAAAATGGCATATTATTTGCAGAAAAATTAATTCCTTATCAAAAAACCTTTTTAGACCAATTAGGTGAAATTGGATGATTTTCTACGGCACACCTGACCATCACTCGCGGCACACTAGCGTACCGAGGCACAGTGGTTGAAAAACAATGCCCTAGAGGAATCCCAGTCTCACCCATCTCGTGCGGGATCTCATGGCACAAGATGGCCACCGTGGTCGCCATGCCGGTCTCGGCCGAGGAGGAGAAGGCCGCCCCGACCACCAGGCCGTCGGCAAAGTTGTGGAGGCTGTCTCCTACGATTACCATCACAGCTAGCAGGGGAACCCCTCTTCCTGGAAAAAGAAAAACAAAGAGGCTCTGTTGTCCGAGCCGTACAACTAATTGGAGAGCCTGATTGGTCGAGGGAGAGGAGGCTCACTCTGGCGTGGAGGGCTGCTCGCGTTGGCGTGCTCAGGAGACATTTCCGTGCACTCCAAGTCCTCTACCGGTCCCTTCAGGAAAAGGAAAACCATTTCAACTTTCTAAACCTGTCAGGGAGGGTGGATCTTGGTGGGAGGACTCAGGCGCGGAGATGCAGGAAAACAGGGTTTATTGTAACAAAAAGCACTCTCAAAGAGTGAATGTCCAGACAAAGTTCAAATCAAGGCTGTGAAAAACTAAGAACAAAGTATCAAAGCAATCAGTTCACAAGACTGTGGCAAAGTATCAAATCATGATTAACAAAACTGTGACAAAACATGGCTATGACGAAAACTTGGCTATGGAACAAAAACATGACTATGGCAGTAAAATAAACAAGGCTGTGACTAAATCAAACCTGACATGGGGTGACGAAAACAGAAAGACGAAAACGCACTGGCACAGGACATGGGAAACGAGGACTATTTAAACACATGAGGGAGGGGAACCCCAGGTGTACACAACAGGTAATCAACACATGACGAGACACCAGACATTCCCCCAGAAGTGACAAAACCTGTGATTCGAATCTGAGATTCCATGTTTAGAGAAAAGGAACTGGACGATGCGGGGTATTTCTGGAGCCCTTTTGTGTCCACAACCGAACGCCACCATAAAGTTCTCTGTGGATAATTCAATACTTCTCATTCTCCAACGGCCTACACGCTCTGTTTCTTTACTCCCTCCCACACCTCTCCTCGTTCCCGGTTGTATAAGAGCTGTGCGGGAAGGGTTTCAGTAAATCCATTTCTTGTAAACACGGATCACACCGAGGTGAATGAAAAAGCTCGACCAGATTTATACGCAACACACCCTCAGTATCACAAAATGACGAGATAAACGGTATTGACTTGAATCAGTCAGTATGGAAGCAGTTCAATTGTTAATCATCGGCTACATGAAGAAAAATAAAAGTTAAAAACAAGTGGTAATATGTGTGAAATGTTGGTCTAGATTTGGTTATATCAAAAGCCTTTTGGAGGTGGAAGTCTCTTCAATCTGCTACATTTCCATCCTGTTGGTGACCCAAGGACCCATTTAGTGTTTAAGAGTAAAATACAATTTGCATTCAGTTTAGATGTTTTAATTTGATGTATTCCAAATGTTTTTCGAAAGTATTTGTGCACATTGAAAAGCTGGTTGCAGTAACCTGGCTTTTGAACATTTTTTATTTTGTTGTTATTTTGTTTTCTTTGAACCTCAAATGTGGCAGAATACAGATTACCACACCTGCCTTTTCACCACCCCGATCATTTCTTTTACCACTAACAAAACAAAAAGGGGGAAAATGCTGGAGTGGGGATTGTCCAGGTGTGATGGAAAGGTCCAGACAGAGGTGGGACGGGCCTCACCAGCTGGATGGTGGAGATGGACTTCCCCCGCTGGGACTGGCTGTTGCAGTTCAGCTCTGAGGGGAGCTCGCCGGAGTGACCCTGCAGACAGAGGACGGTATTAAGAATCCACATCCATGACCAAATGATTTGTGTTTACGGAGCTCTTACATGACTGTGTGATGGGACAACGAACGAGAAGATCTTTTCAATGAGGAAAAATCCATAAATCCCAGCAATCAGGCCCAAGATCTTCCACAGGTATCCCTTTTCTTCTGGAAAGTGCTCGTCACTGTGACTGTGCGTGATGTCATGGAGGCCAAGGATCTGGAAAAGCCCCCAGGGGAAAGAGTTTAAATCAGAATGGAGATAGGCGAGCTGGGTTAGGGTTAGGGTTAGGGTTGAACCTGTGGGATGAGGTGTAGCAGAGCATCTCCCGAGAGGGTTCCCACGGCCAGGCCCACAAACAGCTGCAGGACCAGCGTGAAGGTCTCCTGGCAGGAGTTGAAGAAGATGAGGCAGATGCCGAACATGGAGCCGATCGTGATGAGCAGGACGGCTGCCGTGCTGTAGCCATACTCTGCCAGAGGGACGGAAACAGGATTGCGAGGCTTTAAAGTACGGTGTTTTATGAGCCATTGTCAATTATATGATCCCTGGCTGGATGTATTGATGGCAAATGAAGTACTACGTACACTTTCTTATTGTTATAACTCCGTGCTAAACTGAATATGTTTGGAATTAACAGCTAGCTTGATGCGAATGTACAAATAGCTTGATGCTAATTGCTAATGCTGTTCCTCGTAGAGGTGCGGTCGCCACTGTGAAGAGCCCATATGTGACCAGTACATATTCTGTTCCACGCAGGTATTTATTTCATTTTACTGTCTTTCTTTTAAATATAAATGTATTGTTTTTGGCCATTATATTCGAGACGGGCACGAGTGGTGCGGTTGCCACTGTGAAGAGCCCATATGTGACCAGTACATTTTCTGTTCCACGCAGATTAAAGGCATCGTTCACCATATACTGTCTCCTGGCCATCATTAAAACACAACGCGGAGGTAATATACGACGATAAAGAGGAAAAGACGAAAACAAGGCCACTTCTAGCTGGACCGAGCTGAACAAACACACGGCCAAGTTCAGCACGGTTACATGTGCATTTACACACGTTAAACTTGTAACTCGAGACTTGAGGTTCCTGGTCAAACACTATACCTTGTGTACTCAAATGCTGGTGGTTTTTAAAGAGAAATGAGATTAGATTGGGAATGCTCTTACTCTCGGTGGCGGTTGGCAGAGACCCTTTTGGCTTTTCTTCTGCCGTCCCACAAGCATTGCCTAGCAACTGTTGAACGATGGCGGGGCAAATTTGTCTGAAGTGCTCCATGGAAATGGGAAAACGAGGATCCAGAGCAAAAATATCCACCAGCTGATTGGCCGACAGACATCCCTGGTTTGGTTGGAGAGACAAAACGGATGGTCAGGAAGGTTTCCGACTCCCGTTTGAGCGTTAACCTACTTGATTTGGATCTGGGCCTCACCTGTGCCCAGTATCTGCCTATTTCCGTGGTTTCTTGGTTGCACCTGTTTGCTGAACTCTGCCTCCTCATGCTGTGAAAGTGTGCAGCTCCTTTGTGTCCCACTCCCAGCTGGTGAAGCAGCTCATCTAAGTCTAAAAGAAGGAACAGAAAATGATCACAGCCCACCTGAATGGTAACTACACGCTTAAAAACCCTCTAATAAAGTGAATTGTGAGTTTCTGGTCTCACCCCTGATCTGCAGGTTACTCGTGCGATTTAGAGACTGGAAGATGTAGTCCGTGAAGAAGCCGGGCGATGGGAGGCCCCCCTGTCTGAAGCAGTGGCCTTGCAGGATGTGGCTGATGATGGCGGCGGCTATTTTGGGCACGGCGGTCATCCCGGCGCCCGGATACCCCCCGCCGTCGACGTCCCCCAGGAGACGGGACGGATCCACGCACTGGAATCGGAGATGAGACGTCCTTCAACAAGCACGTTCGCCCACCAAAAAGAAGAGGCATTTTTCAGAAAACCCAGACACCTGCGGATCGGAGGAGCTGTTATCCGGCCGGTAGTGGAGGTTGACGAGCCGTAGGATGCTCTCCGTTTCGCCGGGGGAGAGGAAGCTGCCGTTCTCGGCCGGATGGAGATCGGCGATGGCCTGGAGGTAAAACCGAAAGTCCCCAGACGAGGAGGGGATGAGGGATGACGGGGAAGCTCTGTCCGAGGAGCACAGATCCTGCAAATGAATGACGTAGTAGAGCAGAAGGGTTGAGATCCGCTGGTAGTCTTCCTCAGTGAGATCCACCTTTTCGCTGTCCTCCAACACAGAGAGGGCGACGTCTGGCGTCAGACACTGCAAAGAAAGGGAAAAAAGCATGAAAGATGGATAAATGTTGACCAGATCTAAAAAACAGAGAGTGGTATGAATTGATATACCAATTCATAAGAGAAAATGGTGTTGAAAGGGACCGGTATGTTATTTTCCCCTTCTTTTATTGGACAATATATCTTGAAAAGGATATAGATTTGTGCTGTTGCTTGATACAAGTTCAATAAATAAACCCCTGCTTTATAAAGATGAGGTGGATGAGTTAAACACACAGCTGCTATGTCAGATGTTTGTCTCTTAATTTCTACATACCCGGTATCTGTAAAGCACCTCATTGGAGCAGCTATGTCAACAGGAGGGATTTTAAAAGTAAGCAGAGCACACGAATGGAGGTCCTAAAGGTCAAGCCCTGAGGTTTTCACATTCCAGCCATAAGAACCGCAGTAGAGTGAGTAGATAAAGCTCAGTGAAGGTAAAAGCTATCATTTGACAGGCCTTCTATTCTGACCCAGTTCGCTACATATACTGTAGATCAGGGGTGGGCAACTCCAGTCCTTGAGGGCCGCTGTCCTGCAGGTTTTAGAGGTTTCCCAGCTTATGCACACCTGATTCAGATCAAACTGATCTCTTCTAAAGGTGCTTCAGCTCTGAACAGGACTGCTGATGTTGTGTTGATGTGAATCAGGTGTGTAGAAGCAGGGAAACCTCTAAAACCTGCAGGACAGCGGCCCTCGAGGCCCGGAGTTGCCAAACCCCTGCTGTAGATGGATCCATGAGAAAATTCGTACAGGTTTTATTTACCCTTTCGCAGGTCTCCTGAGTGGCGCCGGCCCGCTCTGCGCAGCCCACCGCCCGGAGCAGCCTGGAGACCAGGACTCCGGTCCGGTTCCTCTGGAGCAGGGGCTTCCTGCCCCCCCCCAGGGGCAGGTTCAGGGCTCCCAGAGCCTCCGTCAGGTGGCCCTGGCTCGGCCTCTCCCCCTCCAGGGCTCCCCCCAGCAGACAGAGGTGCAGGAGCAGCAGAAACGGAGCGGCCCCCCTGAGCCACATCTTACCATCCGGGGGCTGTCGGACCCCCCCCCCCCCACGTCCCGGGACCAGTTGCAGAGCGTAGACAAGCTAGCGAAAGGCAGAAAAGCGTAGACGAAGGGGTCAGGAGAAAGATCTGAAGGAAGGAAAGAGAACTTGTGCAACAAACGGGGGCATAGGTCTTTTCTTGGCGAGGGAGGGGGCTCCTAATAGGACTCCTGATCTCACGGAGAACAGCAAGGGCTCAGTGGGCGCCCTTCAGCTAAACTGCACCTTACAGTAGTGAACGGCCGGTCAGAGGCTGGGCCCCTCAGTCTCCAACAAAAGGATTAGTGCAGGCAAGTGAGAGAGAGCACGGGGCTGGGAGAAGGGGGAATGGGAAAGGGGGAACTGTGGCGAGTTCCTACCCTCAGGAATGAGCACTCAGGAAAAACCGGACACCCGGCAGAAGCGACTACTAACGTCATGTAACAGCACAGGGAGACTGCGTCTTAAGTTTTGTGCAGGTCTCAAAGAGGTAATAGAGTGCCATTGTCTTAAATTTGAAAACCCTTTGACTGTGTGGAAGTACGACGGTACTGTTTAAATCTGTGTTCCCATTTTGAACCCTAGAAGTTTAGAAGTTCAAGAAACAAAGCAGCTGATTTGAGATACATGTGGTGCACACACACACTCTTAAAGCCCCAGTGATGCTCATATCTGAGCTGCTATTATTATTCGTGATCTCTTAGTCATCAAGTATCAAACATAAGAGCAAAACAAGCAGCTCAACATCCTCCCACGCCGGACAACCCGTGGGTCAAACCGGCCCGCTAACCGGGGAGGCAACAAGCAGACGGTTATTTTTGTTTTTCAAAAATCCTGAAAGCCACATTACCGCCTGACAGAACCGATGAGAGGCTCACCAAACGAACCGGAGCTCACAGTCTCCTCTCCGCCCCCCCCAGACGCCGGAACCAGGCTTGATTTCCTGTCGTGCTGTTCACTGGATAAACAGAGGATCCTGCGGTTGACCGGAGAGAATTCTTGGGCATTGGTGCTGTTTGTAAAACCTTCTTACGAGAAAAACAAGTGTTGAGTAAGCTCCTGAGGATTAGCTCCGACAGTCTGAAAGGGCTGCCGTTCCCATGGAGAGGGCTGCCTCATTTTCAACAATGAGGTGAGGGGGGTGGTGAGGCTGAGGAGGGGGGAAATGAACTGCTGATGCTTGACAGGTTAAAACTTTCTAAGTGAAGCTGTTCCAACCCTGCGTGGCGTCTGTTAACCTCTCGTTTGACCCACAATTACCCCAAAACCAGCATTGGTAGGTATGAAGCATTGATACATAATGAGCAACCTAAATGTGATTCGACAAATAACACACCAGGAGCTGGGCCTTTTTACATATTTATTCAACTTGCTTAGCAGCAGTAATCTCCTCACAAAACTGTTTCAGTTCATCAACGTGTCAGTTTCAATTGGACAACAACCTCAGTCGAATTTAATCGGCCCTTCGAGGAGTTTCCTCCTCCTTTAGTTGTACATTTCAGGTGTTTTTTTACCCCCAATTTCAACCAGATGTTGTTTCACCAAATGTCCCGTTCACATCACAGGCAGCCTCTCCATTTTCATAGGAAACTTTTTGATATCTATTCCTCTGCTATTACAGGGCATCGAGACTCTGATAAAAACCATGATGCTTACTCCACCATGCTTTATAATTGGACTGAGGTTTGGTGGTGATGTATAATGCCCACAATGCTGAATTTTTGTTTGATAGTTTGTCTTAGTTTTGACAGATGATTGATGCATCTTCCAGTTTTTCCAGAGAAAAAGATGATTGGTGATGTTTGACAAACAGGAAAATTTGATGTGTTAATTTTCATTTATTTGGTATTTATTTACACTTTCATAAGAAGGGAACAGGTTGAGCTAAAGAAGAATATTAACAAACAACCCACCAGAGGGACATCTGTCTGATTGCATTCAAATTATGGTCACGTTTCTTGATTAAGAACATGGAAATATTCCTGGTAACAGTGATTTTAAAAAAATCCCAAAACATCTGTACACATTTGATAACACATGGCCATTTATAATCAGTTTTTGATTGTTTATCCATACAATCTTGTGCCTAGTTCACTAAGTGCAGTGCCAGTGCTTGTAAGTAAGTACTTAAAATGACAATAATCAGAATCTAAAGTGTTTCTTTGAGATGAAAATCTCTGACCATATCATTTTGGTATTGACGATTGCAGTTTCTCTTGCTTTCCTTCTTCCCTCCTACGCATGCTCATTCTGCTCTATGTTGGCCACAAGGACCTTAGTATCCACAGGGCCTCGGCTGGGATTGTTTAGGTACAGCTTATTGTCAAAGGCGCACTCTCCCAGCATGGGGGCGGGTATCCGTTTACGGAAGAGCAGGAAGGCACCAAGCCCAATTATGGCAATTACAATCAGCACTGTTGCCACGGTGATGCCAGCTGACCCATGCGAAGGTTCTTCAACACTATGCACTGAGGGGGCAAGACAGACAGATGTCAGATTGAGCTCGAAACATTTTACCCAGCATGCATTTTCCATAAATTCTATCGACTTACCAAACGAGGGAGGCTTTTCTGTAGGAGTCACAACTGGGGAAAAAAAAATCACAGATGGTCAGTTACAGATGAGTCATTTAGAAATGACGGAGGAGCTGGTTCAACTTACTTTTGGCCATTTTACAAACGTAAGATCTGTATCGCCTGCAGCTGTTTGTGCTCCACTCCCCGGTGTCGGACTGGATTTCCACGCAGGAGTCTGACTTCGGCATTCCTTTTTTCCAGTTGGTATAGTCCACGACACTGTTATCGATCCACATCCACTTTTCTGAAACAAAAAGTCCTTTCATTGACCAAAGACGCACATCTGGGATTACCATAAAGTGCAAATATATGAAGGACCTAAATGCATTCTTTTTGTTTTGTTGACGAGAGCCAAGGCAACAAGTATTGCTTGTGTTAATCACCATAATTTGGAGTTTGAAAGTAACTGAATGTCTAATTTCTTATCATGAGATATGATAAATGTACTTTGCTTGATTTTGTAATAACGTTTTCTATACACACTATATCAGCTTTGCACAAGCCGGCACATTTTTGTATGATTGTAAACTTTTCTTACTCTAGTTTACTCTAGAATATGAACACCACACATTTAACAAACCCTCTGCTCTATACCACCATGCCTGAGGTTTTTCTATGTCACAAATATATAGGGTTTGGTTGTACTTTTTTACAAAAAGCCAGGCTAAACATACTTTTCTTGGGAAATAAAGAATAACTTTGGTTAATTCTTCAATAGCAAGCTCTTCGCTGTTTCTAATAAGAATTTGAATGTCAGACGTGAGGGATGGACTGAATGAAAACGCTTTGGCTTCACTAATCTGCACCTTCATGAGACTTGTAAAGACCAATCCAGAAGCTTTTGGCGCCGTCCTGTAAGAGCTCCAGGTTCTGCTGCATGAACAGACCCTCACTGGGGTCCTCGATGCTCACGAGGGACGCGCCTTGCATGAAAACAGCACGATTTAAGAGATAATGCAAACAAACAAGAGAAAATATGGTGGTGGATCGTTGAAAGTCTTCCCAACTCACCCATTTTCAAACATTCGACCGAGGCGTGGGCCCAGTTGTCCACCTGAGAACTGTGGAAGGAATAACAATGGCCTCTGAAAGGTATCCAGGTTCTTTGCCTTTTGGACTCCGGGCAATTGCCAGGAAGCTGCGGGGGGTCAGTGGGAGCAATATCTGGAAAAGAAAGATCCCAACCCACTCTCAGAAACGCCCCTCACGTTTAGGTTTTTGTGTATGAAGATGCATGGACAGACCTTGTGACTTTTTACAAATGGAATAGAAGGTCCCGGTGCACGGTGCCGTCTTCCATGTGTTGTCCACATCCATGTACACACAGCCATCGTTGACTTTAGGCTCGTTTTCCCCCCAGTTTGTGTAGGAGAGAGGCCAGTTGTCGACCCATTTGAAGCGACCTCCAGTCTGACAAAGACACAAACGACTGTCATTTGCGTTGAACTTCGAGAGTCTTGACGTGGGATCGTGGTGGAACGGGCAGAGACTTTACCACGTTGCTGTTGAGGCCGATCCATACGGGCTCGTTCTGCCTGGCGACCAGCATGGAGATGTATGCCTGGATTGTGGGGTTCAGGAGGCTGACCAGATCCGCATCATCTGCCTGGCACTGTCTCCTCGCCTCATCCCATCTCATCTTCTGGGCTACCAGTTTGTAGGAGTCGTTGCCGAATTTGTAAAAAGTCTTCGGCGACACTGTGGTGGGCAAGACTTCAATCTGGGAATCTGAACCGAGAGAAAGAATCATAATGTGCTGGACAAATAGCCGTCGGTCAAAACTGCCGGAAAAGAGATTGAAAGAAAGCTTGAACTAATAATAAAAGTGCATTTCAAAGAACAAGAGCAGAATTTCTTCGTCCTTTCATTGTCTCTTTGTCTTGTTTTCTCCACCTTTTGGTGCATAACTTCATTACATAATCTTAAACACGTATTTAATTACACACTGAAAACACCTCAACATCTTCAACTCTCGGCCAGTGTCACTTACCAACATTTTTTTTGCAGATGAAGCCACTCTTTGAACTGCAGTCCTCCACCTTCCACTGTCCTTTTTGTGCGGTGGTGCTGCCTTCCATGACCACACAGTCAAACTCCTGTCAGGCAGAAAAGAGCAGGTCAGCCTCTCTGGATAACACCTTTCCATCAGAATATACAGCAGTTTTTTTTTTTTGCTTATGGGGAAATGTTATAAAGGGTCAAGAGTTGATAACGCCATCAAAATATACCTCAGACAAAGTTGAAAAAGACCCTTTTAACGATGGATACATACACATTACAAGCTAGCAGAGGCAGCTAACTAGGAGGTCTTTGGTCGGGGATATTTGGGGGGGTATCTGGCTGCATTCGTTCACTCCTTAGAGCGCGCGAAGAGGTGAGGTGAGAAAGCTTTAGTTGAATAAACTTCTAATGCAGTTACCTCATTTGTAAGGTACGACTCCCGCCCTGACGTCGGCTGCCCCTTGGCCCAGTTGGTGTACGAAACGCCTCTGCCGTCCGTCCACACGAAGTGCATCTCCCAGTTGACGTCGTTCATGCCGATCCAAAAATCCTCGCTGTAGTACAACATCTGCATTGTGAGGAACGCTGGTAAGAAAGAACCGATGATTGCCTCTCTCCCGTGAAACATTTAGAAACTCACACACAGACTGGCTTTGATACCCAAAACGTTTCGGTGGTCACTCACATTGTTCTTTCTCGCTGGTGACGGACGCCAGGTTTCCTCCCTCGTTGTGACAGCGTGTTCTCGCTTCTTTCCAATCCAGTTTGCCCTCCTCTGAGATAAACTTGTAGCACTGTGGAAACAGGATCGGCTTGAAGTCAAGTGTTCATTCAAGCTTGATCAGAAACACAGTTTCACGAGAGTTCTGGACGAAAAACTGGTCCAATTGTCTCCCTTTAAAAAAAAAATCTAATAAATTAATCTATCCATCCATTTTCGTAACCTCTTATTCCCTAATAGGGGTTGCGGCGGGGGGGGGGACTGGAGCCTATCCCAGTGGTCAATGGGTGAGAGGCGGGGTCACCCTGGACAGTCCCCAGTCCATCGCAGGGACACAGAGACACACAAGGACCAACAACCACACACACTCACACTAAGGGCAACTTGGAATGTCCAATTGTGGGAGGAAGCCAGAGAACCCGGAGAGAACCCACAGACACAGGAGAACATGCAGACTCCCCGCAGAAAGGTCCTGGTTCCCCCGGGACTCCAACCCAGAACCCTCTGGTCCTGGTTCCCCCGGTGACTCCAACCCAGAACCTTCTGGCTGTGAGGCGACGGTTCTTACCACCACACAACCACCACTGACTAAAACTTATCATCCATCCATTAGCGTTACCGCTTGTTTCCGAATGGGGTTGCGGGGGGACTGGAGCCTATCCCAGTAGCCAATGGGGTCACCCCAGACAGTCCCCAGTCCATCACAGGGACACACAGGGACACACAGAGACACACAAGGACCAACAACCACCCACTCTCACTCCTAAGCGTAATTTGGAGTGCTAACATGCAGGTTTTTGGACAGTGGAAAGAAGGCGGAGAACCCGGAGAGACACAGGGAGAACATGCAAACTCCACCCAGAAAGGTCCTGGTTCCCCTGGGGACTCGAACCCAGAACCCTCTGGTCCAGGTTCCCCCGGGGACTCGAACCCATTACCTTCTGGCAGTGGGGCCATGGTGCTGACCACCACACCACCGCGCCGCCCCAATTAAGATTTGGAATATGATTAGTGACACAAACAAACTAAACAAACAAGAAAATCAGTGACTGCATGGTGCACTGAGCTCCGGTGGCTATGACTACCTGGGATGTGTAGTTATGCATGATTACCTTTCCATGAAAGCCGAGCCAACCGGGCGCACATCCCCCTTTAACAGCGGCAGTTGGCGCCACAGTTGTGTTGACGAAGCTGCTGCTTCTTTTGCAAATAGATGGAAGCTCCATACCGCAGTTGATATCATTCCAGTAGCCTAAAACAGGCAGGATTTTGCAAAGACAGTCAGAGGATGTACGTCCTACCGCACGAGGATGGGGCTGCTCCTGGGTCGGACTCACCCATTCCGCTGTACATGGTCACACAGTTCTCATCGTTGTTGGCGAAGTTGGGCTCGTTGTGTTCCCACGCTGTGTAGCTCACAGGCGTCCTGTCCAACCAGCTGGAAACAGAACAAGACGCCGTGAGCGGAGAGCGTACAGAAGAAAAACGGCAAAGTGTTTTGCCGGCTCGTTGCCGTTTAAACGTACCTGAACGATTTGTCCAAATTGACCGTCATGCCAATGTAGTACTGAGCCTGAGGGCGCTGCGCTATCTGTTCCAACATGAGCACACGACAGACACGTTGTTCACGGGAGCAGGTCAGGATGTCAGAGCAGATTTGACCTGAATTGTGTTTCTCACAATTCTCCAGAGGAACTTCCTCTCACTCTCCCCTGTGATGACCACCAGTTCTCCGAAGTTCTTTGAGCAGTAGGCCCTGGCGTCCTCCATGGCCAGGGCGTTTTGGTTGATGTAGTAGTGGGAGTCGTTGTACGCGAGCCAGCCGTCCTCGGTGGTGTTGTAAACTGTGGAGACACGTTAACTAGCTCAGTGGAGCTTAGTGAAGCCTGAGTGCCCGGTCGGTCTGGTCCAAGTGAAGGTACACCTTCAGACTGTGGCTCTTTTACACTGTTGTGAGTATTGTTTTTGTTTTTGTTAAATGCCCTAGCATTGCTGATCTATGGAGTGAACCGAAAACAAGAAACAAAGTCAGAAAACGGGACGGGGCTGAAACATACCGACTTCAACCACAACAGGCTCGGGTTTGGGAATCTCTCCTGAAAACAGAAGAAGAATCAGAATCCCTCATCCAAGCAATTGGGGGGAAGCATTTATTTTTTCCAGGTGAAGTTTTACCTTTGCGAATCTGGCAGATCCAGTTGTTGTAGTACTCACAGTGGCGGTCATTCCAACGCCGTCCGTAGTAAGAATCCATCTCTCCGCAGTGTTCAACATCGTTGTGGTTGTTGGGTTCACCAAAACCCCAGTTCTCATAGTCAATCTGCGTCACAGTTTTTGAGATAAATACACTACTGGGATGGGGTGAGAAGACCTCTGTGTGAACACGGCGAGCTACGTACGGGTGAGCCATCGCTCCAGGCGAAGCCTTCGTTAGGACCCTGCAGCCTGAGGCCTATCCAGGCCGATTCGAACGAACGAGTGCTTTAAAAAGCAAAAAACAACAAGATTACCGACGACTCTCGAGAAACATCACTTCTGCAAGCTGCCGGTGCGGCCGACACACCTGAACACGCTCAGTTCCTCCGCACTGTGGATGCTCATCAGGTCCCCGCCAATGTCCCTGCAGAAGGTCAGGGCTTCCTGCCAGCTCTTCCTTTTCTTATCCTTCATCGCATACACCTTTGTCGGTAGAGGGGGAAGAAGTTTTTTTTTAATATTCAATTCAATTCAATTATTTTATTTTATTGCTCATGACCATAAACATGCTTTGGAGCACAAACAATAAATATAACAGAACAAAGTAACACATATACATCAAAACTATAACATCATCGATATAGTGGGAGGACCCATTTCAAAAAGTCACCAAACTTACTAATTATCTTCTTTTTTTCAGACTGAAATAATGAAATCATTTTAAACATTGATGGGCTCCTCACATGATACTGTGGAAAATACTTCTCTCTGTAATGGCATATTTCTACATTTTTGCACTCAAACAAAACATGATACTCATCTCCAACACAGTTATCTGGACAGAGTTGACATAATCCTTAACTTTCTCTCTAAACCTTTATACCGACCACTGACTTTAGGGATTCTAGTGTTGTTTGTTCTAAGGTTACAGATGGCCTGCCTATATCCAAGGTTTTCACAAAACAAGTTTTTAAATTTTTTAACTGTGATACTTACTGGAAACCTACCCAACTCTCAATATACTATAGCACTGCAGGTGGACACCTCTACTCTAAGAACGTATTTTAAAAACTGCACTGTATTTTACTGCACTCCACACACAGATCGCGCCTCTTTGGTTCACCTACTTTGAAGCAAATGTTCCTTTTCCCCGCGGGCAGCCAGCCGGACGCGCAGCTCGGGGCCGGGGTGGTGGGGGGGGGCAGCGTGGACTGCACGCCCTCGGCCAGCTTCTTGCAGATATACTTCTCCTTGCTGGCGCAGCTGATGACATCCCATAGTCCGGCGAAAGTCCCGGTTGTCATGGCTACACACCCCTGTTTTCTGTCTTTTGCCCAACACACCAGGAGAACATTTTCAGGAAGCGATTCGAATCTTCAAATAATAAAAGCGCATGAAGAACTGGCAGAAGGCAGCAATTTGATGTCATACAGCATTCTATATGATTCACAAACTATTGACTTCTGCTAATTTATTTAACTAATTTGATAAGTATAATGTGTGTATGTGTACGTGTGTGTATTCTCTAAAGTTTCATGTCCAAAAATATGTCTGTTCGAGGTCTGGATGTTTATTATCAGATTAATTGTTTTAATCAGGGTAAAAATCATGATTGGGTCATCCTCTACAGATATGACACATGCTCAAATATTGAATTATCTTTAATGCTTTTTTGCAACTATACTTTCTATCTTGTTTTAAAACAAAAGCTTACGTACAAAGATCTTCAGATTTTAGAAGTGAGTGCTCTACCTGGCATGCCCACGTTGAAATGAGTGAAGGCGACCTTTCTTTTAGATGTCCACACAAAAGTGCTTTTGTCCTCTGTGTTGGAAAGACCTGTCCAGAAATACTTCTCTGGCCTTAAACCCACCAAACTGACCAGGAAAGCATTCTCATATCTGCATCGAGAGGCAAAAATGAAATGAAATTTTTCTTCAAATGACTCTAGAATAAGTGTTCACTTAAAAAAAAACAATAACTTTAGGTTAAAAAGCCACGTATTAGCAAAAGCCACACACGTGGGACTCTGATAATTGAAATCTGAACCACGAGTTACCTGTTGTCCATGTCCAAAAGGTTGGCGCCAGCTTCTGCGCAGGCCTGCTTCGCCCCTTCAAATGTTTTGGTCTCAGCGCCAATTTGAAAACAATATGACCCAAACCTTATGGATCCCTAAGAACCAGTGAATAAACGGCTAAATCAGACTGTGTTGCTAAATCTCAATTGTAATAATCCCATCCACAGTGAAGCTCTTCACTCACAAGCGTGCATCCCGGATTGACTTCCTGGTGGGAGCCTTCGGATGGTTTAGTGGAAGCCTTCTTCTTACAGATGTACCCATACTCTTTCTCACACTGGTGATCTGCCCACTTCCCATCCTGGGGGAGAGAGGGACGGTTAAAAAGAGCTTCAACCAGAAGAAAAAAGCAGTAAAACTAGAATATGGCTGTTCCTGTGGTGAATGGAGGAAGAAGGAGAAGAAGCCAAAGAACTGAAGAGAGGAATTATTTGAAAGATTTGAACTGGCAACTTCTGGATCTGGAGTCAAACACTCTACCACTGAGCTATACCACAGGCTGGAAGGCTATGGAGCAATACAAAGGAAAATTTGAAGGTGCTGAAATGCCAGTGACCAGCAGAGGGAGCCATATTTTTTGCTCCATTCATTTCAATGAGAGGAATAAGGCATAAAAGGTTAAATATCTTAAAAAGTCGAAAAGATTTGAACACCAAAAGTCATAGCCGCATAGTCCTGAGATAGCTGAACATTTTGATACCTTATTTGTTGAAATAGGCCGAAAGGTGTAGGGGTAGTTAGACGCAGAAAAACGTACGGTTTATGGAATAATAAAGAGAAACAGGAAAACAATCGTGAGAAAGCCCATTGGCATTCTCATAATAGAATAATATTCTCTTGTGTTCTTGGACGCACCTTTCCCCGGATGAGCACGCAGTCCTCCTGGTGGCTGCTGGTGTGGGAGGGCTCGTCGCTCTGCCAGTGGGCGAAGGTGACGCGGGAATGGTCGGACCACTCGAACAGCATCTGGTTCCTCTGGTCGTTCAGGCCAATCCAGAGCACATCTGTTGGCTCTGAGGAGGGACAGAGGGATTTTCACAGCCTTTACAACACGGATCTACAGTCCACTGAAGCCTCAAAAAGAAGCAGGCGGCTAGTTTTAGTAAATAAACTTAAATGTAGTAGTCAAGACTAAAGCCAGCCAGTCAAATCCTTTGTATAACTTAGATCAATTTGACCTATTCCAAGCTGGGTTTCAATTCTCCTTTTCTATCTCTTGACCTTTGAATATTTAGACACACTTTTTGTGGACTTACTGTATCCAAACTGGGAAATGATGAAGCTCTGCTCCTCTAGATTGTGTATGCTGGCCAAATCTCCTCCCTCTTTGTGGCACGCAGCCAAAGCATCCTTCCACATCCTTTTGCTCCTCTCCAGGTGGTAGCAGTTCCCCGCATAGGGAACCCAGTGATTGGGGCAGAAGCTGGGCCCTTTAACTGTGGACACACAGATGGTCAGACGCGACTTCATGAGTACATAAACGGAAGGCGTCAAGGTGGGTTGGGCTTTTACTCAGTGGCAAGGGGAGACCGGTCGAGTTTCCTCTTCGACAAATGTAACCCAGCTTCTTGGTGCAGAGGCTGCTCTCCCATTTCGAGGCCTTTCCCGCGTTTAGAGTCGCGCAGATGAGCCCCGGCTCGGAGGAGGGGTGACCTGCCGGTCCACAGATAAAAAAAAACGATGAGGGAACCCGCTTTGCTTGCAACACGGCTTCCGGGAAGGAGTTTCGACACCCACCGGGAGCCCAGTTCAAGTATCTGAAGGGGCTTCCGTTGCTCCACTGCCACCCGCTGTCGAACTCCAGGCTGTTCAGCCCAATCCAGAGAGACGTCCCCAGGCGGTTGGTCAACCCTTCGTCAAACACACATGCAGGTTGTGGCCATTACCGCTCAGTATGAGGTTGTTAGAATTTGGCTATAATTAATCATTTTAGCGTTGTACCCTAAATTACTGATGTTTTATTTTCTCTTATAACTATATTTTGTGTTGAAGACTCTCTCCTCTCTCTTTTCCTTTCTTTCTTTTTCTGTTACGTTAGATCCATGTCTTTAGGTCAACACACACACACCATTTGTTACCACATTCCAATGTTATCTGCATGAATTAGGACCTGGCCTGTTCATGCCCAGAGGTAACTGGCCAATAGGACTTGGTTGTGTCCAGTCCTCCTTTGAAGAAGCGGACCTAGCCAAGGAGATAATGCCCGTCACACCCAGATCTCAGGGCTCTTTGCCCACTGAGACCCAGAGAGACTTTGCCTGTGACCTAATAAATGCCATTTTTAGGTATAGTGGTTAGCATAGCTGCCTTCCAAGCAGTTGACCTGGGTTCGATTCCCGGACAATGAAGGTCCTCTCTACTCTGTAAGTCGCTTTGGATAAAAGCGTCTGCCAAATGCATAAACATTTTTATACTTTTAAACCACTCTGGTTTATTCTCAGGTTTCCAACTAAAGAATCTGGCTAATAAGGTCCTCACAGCTAGCATACCCTACGTCGGCGCTGTACCTGAAATGTAGGACTGCTCGTGGAGCTCCACGATGCTGAGGAGGTCAGCCCCCTGCTGCTGGCAGCTCCTCCTGGCCTGATGCCAGGTCAGAACGGCCTGCGAGTTCCTCTGGTACTGAACCCCCGTGACCGGGTCGGTGTCCCACCCGGAGGAGGCTGGATCATTTCAAAAGACACCAAAACTCAGCAAGTTCAAAGGCGACTTCCTTTAACGACAAGCAGCGTTGACCCGTCGGCGATAAGGACGGTGAGAACATTTATGAGGTCTCGAGAAAAACGTCTCACTGTCCAGGACAGAGGACTGTGGTGAAGCCAGATCCCTTTTTATTTCCTGATCCCTTCCTGCTCTGGCTTTACAGCAAAGTCAGGGGAAAAAGAAGAGGAAAACAAGGACCGTGCTGTGTTGACAACATGAGAGGAAGTGGTGGTGTTGTTCTACAGGGTCAGAACCGGGGACAGGGGTCGGAAACTTGTTCCACTGCTCAGAAAAATCCGCAGAGAGTGCTGACTGCGTCGCTCACCTTTGCTGGGACAGAATCCCCACTTTTTGGCCTTGTCGTAATCTCTGTCCGTGGCACACCACAGCTGGCCGTCCGAGCGACCCTCCTTTGTGCAGTCAGCATACCACTTCTCATGGAACTTAAATGGGAACTGACAGGGGGCTCCGAAAGCATTACCCCCTAGAGTGAAAGTCTCTAAGGGGACACAGATCAAGGTTTTTTAGAAATGACAGAAACTGTGTGGACATGCTTCCCTTAATGCTTCAAATCTCTTCTGCTTCTGCTTGGGATTTCCCCTTGACTTTGGTAACTGGTCGGAGGGATGTTTCTCACAAAACTTGAAATAAGTTGCTTTTTAAGGGACTTCCCTTTATTTTCACTGACATGGGCCAGTGTTTACAAAAAGCCTGCCGTCACATAAATTGCAGGAATGCTCTCATCTTAAATGTTGTTCTGGTGAAGAGCCTTAAATCAGAAAAGTGATGACATAATGTCTGACAAAGGAAATTTTTCTTAATCATCTCATGATTCCTGATTTGCCTTTAGATTGAGCTAACTTCTAAAAACGACTCATTCGAACCCACTCCAGCTGTATTCAGGTGTAATTTCAATACTAGAATTCTGTAACCAAGTGATACCCGATGCTAACTATGTATGGGCAGTTTCTACAAAAGTCTCATTGTTACCACTGGCAACAGGTCTTATTTGGGAATGTCCTAACAATTAAAACCACAAACGTTTTTTCCTGAAGGTGTCACTTTTTGCACAGGGATCTTTTTCAAGAACTTGATATGATCACACATAACATGGTAAGCAAACTTTGATGACCACACTAGTACCATTTCATGCCAATTAAAATCCGATTTATGCTCATTTAAAGTCAGTCTACATCTTATACTGAAGACTGACAGCGATGTTGATATGATGGATTAACATCACCAGATTTTAATCTAAGATTTTTGCAGGATACATTCTCAAATTTCCAGACTTATTACACGGAAAGCAGACCACACCAGTACCTTTTCTTGCCAATTAAAATCCGATTTATGCACATTTAAAGTCAGTCTACATCTTGTACTGAAGACTGACAGCAATGTTAATATGATGGATTAATATCACCAGATTTTAATCTAAGATTTTTGCGGGATACATTCTCAAATTTCCAGACTTAAACGAAAACCTGCCGCCCCTTAGTTTTAGCTCGGATAGACAACATATTTTTCTTGATTGTGGACACACAATTCCTACCTTGAAAGCCTTTTGAGCAAAGGTCCCCCTGAGTGCCGAACATCCTCCAGCGACTCCACACCCCCGAGCCTTTGTAGATCATTACGCTCCTCTCCCCGTGGTTCCCCCAGTTGAGGTGCAGGTCCCGGTCTTTGAGGCCGAAAAGGGTTTCGTTCTTGCACTGCCAGTGCTGGAGCTGGCTGCTCTCGTCGCACTCGAAGAGGGCCACCTTCACCCAGTCTTTGATCTCCGTGGCGCCCAGGCACAGCTTGAGGGAAAGGCTGAGGAGGCGAGACTCCGAGGCCCAGCGGAACTGCTGCTCCTTGGCTCGCGGGTTGCACGGAGACAGCGTCACCGAGGTGGCCTTCTCCACTTTCACACATTTGTTGTGGTCCAGGTTGAAGATCAGGAAGGTGCCGCCGTCTTCAGAGGAACAGACGGATTCATTACTCCCCCCGCAATCCGACTCAGGGGAAACCAGAAACGGGTCAGGAATACTCACCTATGTCCGCTGTGATGCGGAGGACTTGCAGGAGACAGAGAACCGCGGAGAACTTCAAACAGGGCGACATCCTTAAAGTATGGCGTGAACTTGGTGGTGGACGTGGCCCTAGGGTAGATTTCCAGTCATGAGTGAGGAGGCCTGGTGTGTTTGAAGGTGTGTGGCGGAGAGCACCAGTGGCTTAGAGCCATGGTGGCTCTCCTCTTAATCACACTCGTGGATATCCTGTCACATGGGCAGTTCCGGCTTCCACGAGGTGTCACAGAGGAGAGGAAGTGGATTCTCACTGTTAAGGGAGAAAGTGGAAGTCTGCTTCCAGCTTCTGGAGAACCAACGTTTAAAAAAATACTATACAAATCCCTCACACAGAACAGAATCTACACAATGTTGTTTTTCAGTTTAGAAATGACATCTTAAAGTCTCCATTTGCCAGATTTGTGGGGATAGGATCTCTGAGAGGTTAACAAAGCCCTCAAGTTAGCATCACAGAAATGATCCCAGTCAGTAGACAAAGAAAGCAGCAGGAAATCCTGCTTCTCTTTGAAGAAAGTGAATGGCCGGATGATCGTCCTGGCCTCATCAGTGTTGCAATCCTCACAAACGATGCTCAAGACAATTCACAAATTCTTGGAAATAAGTGAGAGCTGTGAGGTATTCACTGTAGTGTGTGCCTCGGCCTCCTGGGGGCAGAGGATAAGTCTGAGAAAAATCCTCCACATACACCAACTATATACTCCAGTGCTTTTTCACCACTGAGGTTAAACCCAAACAATGTGAGCAGCATCTGTTGATATGTGTTTAAATGTGGATAATGGCGTTTTTCAGGAATAAAGAGGACATCCTCATTCATCAAACAAAACAGAAAAGTAAGGATTTTATCATTTATTTAAGCATAAAGGACTGCATTTAAGAAATGTCACAGAATTTTCCTATCAGCTCCAATATAACATATAGATATTATATCTGTATGTATCTTGTGAAGCATATTTGGACTTTTTAAAATACATTTTTAGGTCTTCTTCCAGGCCTAATTCAGATGTGCATTTGCAGAATTTAGGGCAACATGTTCTGCCATCTAATCTACATTATTTTGGGCTCTAACTATCTGTGGTCTTCCCCTTTTGAAGCAATAATAATTAAAAAAAACATTTCGGTACATTTGATACGTTGTCTTATTCAATTTTCAAATAAAAAAAAAAGTGATTTATTAAAGGCGGTATGATTTCTATTCACTTGACTCGTTTTAAAGGTGTAATGACGTTGTTTCCTGTGCTTCTCATTTCAGTAATGCAAATGTTTTGCAGAAGAATGACAGGAAACTTTGTATCTAGGGGAGCCATTTGGGAGCAATGAGATAAATTCCAGTAAAAATAAATAAATAAATAAAAGAAAAGCTGTACATGGAGGTCAGAAACGGGCAAAGAACGCTGGTAAAAATCAGTGCTCGTCCTAAATTAGTGAAGCTGACACACATTATTTCTGAGTTTTCTTTTATTCATCTTTGTAAAATAAATGTATCAGTGATGACTCACACATTTTTTTTTATTCTGTGAGTATTAACTTGGCAAAGGAAAGCTCTAATTTAAACAGCACTGATTTGATACTTTACATGTTGTCCATATGATCCTCATGATGGTAGAAAAATGATACTCTTAACTTTCATGTGACATTACAGGGACATTGCCAACGTGCCATTCTTGGTGAGGATCAAGGATTATGGGGTTTTTAAAAAAGCATGTTTCCACATAAAGGTTATAAAACACAACATATCACATAATTTGACGCGTAAGTTCAAAACTGCCTAAGAACTCCCTTCTGGCTTGTAAAAAATACCATCATGATTTTTTTTTCTTCTTTTTTTTTTCAGTATCTCATGTATGCAAAGTCAGTGTGAGCGTAAAGTTCCTCCTAAGCTACTTTTAGGATGATGACCTTTTAAACCAGGTTACACTGTTCAATACATTTCAATACGGGAACATTCAATGATGTAAACAAATGTGCAAACCTGCAAAAAGGATAACTATTTAAAGATTAGATTATAGATTCATGAGCTGCTTTAACATTCTCTGATTCAGAAAGAATGAATATATATATCTATATGTATTTCTATCTATATCAGCAAGTGGATATTTGCCACATGGCCTATTTCAAGTGTGGATATTTAGTCATAGACTTAAACTGACCGCTGTGTTTCAGTTATTTAGAGCTTGTAAAACCACCTTCTGAATCCCAACTGTTTTTCTCTCGTGTCTCCTAACACATTTTTTCCCAGTGGTGCGTTCACTTGTCTTTGACCCTCTCGGCCTCAGAAGAACATCCTCTCCGTGTTGAAGACCCTCAGCTTGGTCATGAAGTTGAAGTAGACGAAGGCCAGGCACACCAGCAGGTTCTTCATCAGGTAGAGGACCGGCGTGACGAAGCCGAAGAAGGCCAGCAGGCCCACGCGCAGGAAGAAGAAGGGCAGGTCCTGCAGGGCCACGCCCAGCGAGGAGAGCAGGGCGCTGCGGGGCGTGGCCACCACCCGGAGGCAGGACAGGTAGCTGAAGATGTAGATGGGGAACACCCAGCCCGAGTAGCAGACCAGCGGGTGTCCGGCCGCCCGCACCATCTCCGCCGTGTCCATCCAGAACAGGAAGCTGTCCACCAGCACGTCCGCCCGCGCGTCGCTGGCCCACAGGAAGCGGAGCGGGCCCGAGTAGGCGGGGCTCGGACCCGAGACGCTGAAGGGCCGGGCGGGGGGGCCGGGGGGGGGGGGGGGGGCGGGGGGGCATCCCCGGGAGCGTGCCGTTGGTCTCCGGCCGGGCCCCGTTCTGTCCGCCCCCCCCCAGGCTGCATGGGCGTGGGTCCGGCCGGAGCCACGGGACCCACCGGGGTGACCGGGCCCACCGGGGTCACCGGGGTTACCGTGGATACCGGGGTCACCTGCTCCACGTGCGTGAGGACGGTGGAGGGGATCTCGGCCTCTCTGTCCGTGTCGTTTGCTGAGCAGAAACGAATGGAAGAAAAAACAGAGACTGAGTCACTGACCCCCCCCCATTCGACTGGAAAAAGGGAAGGAACACAAACCAAAAACGGTCAGAAAATCACCCAGTTAAACCTCTCACAACTCAGTGGTGGGCCGTCAGGGCCTGCAAGGCCTAAGAAAATATCTGAATCAAGGACTGATGTTAATTATATTTTGTCCATGGAAACGTATTAAATATCTCTAAATAGTCTGTCCGCTTCCTTTCGTAGCTTTTCCCCTGGTTGCGCTGCTTCCAGACATGCGCTTTCACATAAAAGCATTTAATACGGTTAAGATGAGGGGTTAGCTTTGGAAACACTACCAGAAATGGTCTTCTCCAAGGAAAATGAATGAATATTTTATTTGTTTATTTGAATAAACCAACCCTAAATGAATGAGAAGCTAACGCTGGTTGTCTGAATTGTTTTGGATAAGTGTAACAGAATATTTTACACAATTATTTTATTTGTCTTTGTTTTCTATATATTTGTATTTGTTTTCTATATATTTGTATTTGTTTTCTATATTAAAGGGATCACGAAAATGTTGGTTCCGGGAACAATGTATTCTGTGTTCGTCAAATAAATAAGATTCATCGACCTATCTGTAGCCCGTCTGTTCCACACCTTGGTAGCGAAGAGACAAGAACCATTTACAAGAACATGTGTAACTCTGCTAAATGCATCATATTTGATACATACTGTTTCTGAAGTCTTTTGGATCTGAGACTTTTTGCATCATTCAGTGGTAAAAGCTTTGCTCAAACCCCTGTTGTACACCTTCAGATATACCTGATAACAGCCAGTAGAAGACTACACCAAAATATATTTTTGACTTATTGCATGCTAATTTGATTTAAAATAAGTTTTTTTTTCTTCATATGTTGTTGAGGGGCCAAAGAAAGACTTCAGACTAAAAAAAAATCCAATATTCTTGCTATTTTTCTTGGATCAGGCTTTAAAGGGCTAAAGGGTTACGATAAGTCATGCTAAGGGGCTGTTTCTGGTTGATGTCTCCAGGTTCCTGGAGGTTGGCAGAGGAACGTTCGGGAACTAATGGGTTTGGCGTGTGGCGTGTGGCGTGTGGCGTGTGGCGTGTGGCGTGCGCCCGGGGCTATCCTCACCCTGGCCGGTCAGCCTGCAGTGGCGCATCCTCTCCACCACGTCGATGCAGATGAGCGAGAAGAGCACCAGCGACACGGGCAGCTCCGTGAAGCTGTCGTGCCTCATGCCGTTGTTTATCTGCACCTGCACACATAACGAGAGAGACCGCTTAACTGGACACCAACGGTCAAACCTGAACCCATCACTCAGCAGTAAATGGACTTCCCTGAGTCAGGACTTCACATCAACAGGACACAGAACAAAGCATGGGCAAACTGGTCATCTTAGCAGAATTTATCGCTCCTACGGAAAAAAGACGGCAGATAAGCGGGGGGGGGGGGGGGCCGGCGGGTCAGCGCGGCCTTTGGAGAGCGCCACATAAAACAGCAAATGGGACCTGGACCGCCGCCAGGGAGGAAGCGAAAAAGTGCTTCATGGACAGATGGTCAAACAGCGTGGACAGGAAGAGGAACCAAGCTGCTTATCAGTAGCTCCTTGTCCATTAAGCTGGATATTCCTCCACTGGGAAGCAAAGGATTTCTTGCAAATAATTACATTTTTTTCTAAATGGGGACTGTTTAAATATATAAAAACAGCTGGACGGATGGACAGGAACAGACTTAGGGGACAAATATAGCAACGTACAGGTCAGGGACCGCGATCAGAGCACAGGTAGACGGATGAAATTTAAAAATCCAGAGGTGGTCGTACCTCAGAGCTGGCGATGAGGAAGGCAAAGCAGGGCAATGTGGACAGGATCACGTAAACCAGGGCCACCGGCCTCCTGATTCAGAGGAAAAAAAGAGGGGAAAGATTAAGGCATGAGAGAGGAGGACAAAACCAGTTGCAACACTTGCATTTTCTAAGTTAATCACAAGTCCAAACACTGAGACCTTTCCTGATGATCTACAACGATACACAGTTATACACAACATGTACAAAAATGCACAGATATTGTTTGGTCAAATAATACGCACATAAACACTTCTTAACGGCTCTGTAAAGATATTTTGATTTCATATGAAAAGGATTTTGGCAATTGTGTATGTGAAAAGCACCAGAAAAATGTCTACTGTAAGTAACAACTGGCTGGAGCCGTTTACACCCCCAGGACCCACAACAGCATTTTTTTTTGTTTTAAGTTCTAATAATAAATATCTTATCACAATAGAAATTCACCATCTGCATATTCTGTCTGTATAGGACATTCACTTTGATTCTGGGCTGTCAGAAAAACAGATTGAGCGCCATAAAATGCATGTTTGGAAAGCTTTAAGAGCTCCAATCACACTGTGTGTGTGTGTGTGTGTGTGTGTGTGTGTGTGTGTGTGTGTGTGTTTGTTTCTGTGTGTGTTTGTGTGTTTATCCGCATTCCCCCAGGAATTTCCCACAATTAACACATCCATCATTCTGTCAACGTGCAACCCCACAGTATGATGCTGCCACTGCCGTGCTTCATTGTGGGGGATATATGTGAGCATATAGACAGACACATAATTTCCCTCGATGGTTAAGTTTAGTTTTAGACCCATCGGACCAGAGATCTTTCATCTGTGTGTTTCCCATCCTCCAGGGAGGTCGTTCGGTTACAAGAATTTTAATTTTAATTTTGCTCTACTATCTTGATACAGAATCATTATCCTTTAATCAGCAGCAGACAGTAAATATGTGACTTCCACCACTTGATGGCAGTAAAACACAGAGCTGACCAGTCTGATACGTCCTAGCCAGCCCACTCACATCAAGGCTAATGGTACTCCAAACAAGACAAATATGTAAGGTAAAACTGGATCCAGAACAAGTTTTTTCTCATAAACGCAGCATCACATAAACCACAACAACGCAAAGTCATTTGAGAGAACAGAGCTGAATATTTTCAAAGATATATGATTTTAGTAGTGACAGGAATGGTGACGTATGGCTTATTTAGCACATAATCAAATCAAACATTATGGGCTCTTCGAGCATTAAAAATGGAAAAGTTATTTGCAAGGGAAACATTAATTGACAGGAAATATTAGTGAGAGGAACCTTTGTTTTGGAAAAGAGCTATACACAGCTTTAGGTACATATTCAATTTTCATTTGATATCCTGCAACGTTTTCAACTAAATATATACATTACCAGCCGTGTTTAGGCTGTGCAAATATCCAGTGGTTGTGTGAACAATTCTGACCCTGTCAGCATTTTTTCCTGCTTCCAGGAGGCAGATTTCTTGTCAGTAACCTTATCTGATAGGTTCTTTCTTGCCAAAGACCCCCTTTCTTAACAGCCACCTTCCTCTGTATCCTCAGTCTGTGTGTGGAGGAAGTCTATTTGCTAGTGTAAAGCAGTAAATGTCACAATCCACACATTGTTTGGTGCAGATTGGAGGATTAATAGGTCTGATTTAGGAGCAGTTTTTCAGAAATCATGAAGGAACAAGACACGAGACAGTGGACACGTAAGTCCAAAATGTCCACGGGACCGTGTGTGTGCGTTTGCTAATACCTTTGCATTTCACAACACAGATAGAAAAACAACACAATTTGGAGGAAGGTGAAATATTACACATTTTGCGACAGTTTTGTGTAGGTTCAAACTATCAAAGACGGGAAAATAGACCCAAAAAACCTGTCTACCAGACCAGCCCGAGGCCGGTTAACCCTATAATGCCAAATGTATCATATTTGTTACACACGGTTTCTGAAGTGTTTTAAGTCTGACACCTTTTGCATAATTTAATGGCAAAAACTTTGCTCAAAATCCTGATCTTGATCCATAATCCATAATCTTGATTTTTCGCATAGTAATCAATCATTAATATTAAAATGTATTTCTGTTTTTTCTTTTCACATATTTTGTTAAAAGGCCAAATAAGGACTTCAAACCAGAAAAAAAGTTATTTTCTCTTTTGTTTTATTCATGGATCAGGTTTTAAAGGGTTGAGACTCCCCAAAAGGAGTTCTGGTCTCTGTCGGTGCTCCGCCAACCCCGGAACCAACAAGAAAAATAGCAAGAACATTGGATTTTTTTTAGTCTGAAGTCTTTCTTTGGCCCCTCAACAACATATGAAGAAAAAAAAAACCAGAAATTATTTTGATCAAACTAGCGTGCAATAAGTCAAAAATATACTTTGGTGTAGTCTTCTACTGGCTGTTATCAGGTATATATCTGAATCTGTACAAACCGATCACCTCACACAGCTCACACCTCCCAATAAAAAACCCCCAAAAAACTCACCACTTCTTCCTCCCCGTGAGGAACTTCCTCTTGGTGAACACCAAGTACTTGAGGGGCACCCAGACCACCAGGGCGGTGGAGGTGACGTAGGCCACGGAGGAGGCCACGATGAGCCAGTAGGCCGTGGCGCCGTCGCCGGGGGGGCGGGCCGAGCTCTTCGCCGTCGCCACGACGACGGCGAACCGCTGCATGACCACGAAGAGCGGCACGCACAGGCCGGCGAACTGCAGCAGCTCGCAGAGGGCCACTTTCAGCGTCCTCCCCGAGCCCATCCTGTAGCAGAGGGAGACCGGGGTAAGGGGGGGGGCAGTGAGAGGCGACCCCCCCCTCGTTCCCCTCTCAGGGCCTGGATCTGGGCTTTGTCTGCCCCAACACTAGCATTTTCCACAGGCCGCAGCCCCCGGCTCTGTGCTTACACTGCACTAGGCATTGTGTGGCTCAATATCCCGCCGATCGCCACCGGCCTTCCGCTTTCCTTTTTCTAACGAATTCAAATTTCAGTTCAGATCTTCCCCCCTCAAAGTTCGAGGCAATTAAAGACCCAACGTGTGTCGACCAGGAAGTGGTTTAGAGGCAAATACGCAGTCACGGGAAAGCTAGTTAAACCCAAATTCGTGACAACTGTCAACCCAGGAGCTAAAGTAGATGTTACTTAAAGAGGGAAAGCAACTTTTTGGTTTTGGAGACATCTTAATCTTAGGAAATCACCCCAAAAAAAAAGTTCAAGATCCACGTGTGTTTGTCTGCTGCCATCTAATGGCAGAATGTGGTCATTGCAGTAAAAAAAAAATCTTTCATCTCACTTTTTTGTCTGATTCAACAAATTGGGGTTTTTCAGATTTATTTTCATCAATACATATGAGACACAATACATAATTCATACATATGAGCAGTAACTGTGTTGTTGTTTTTGTTTTTTTCAAGAGCAAGGCAGCAGGAAGTCTTCTGTCCTTCGAGGAAATTTGTTCACGCCGATTCCAGCTGTTGTTTAGTCTGAAACAGCTGGACATTGGGCCTCCCAAACCCCCCCCAGCCCCCCAAACCCCCGATCGAGTGACCGGTCGAGGACGAGGCGGTCTGGCCTAAATCTGGTGCCGTCTTCAGTTTACACACTCATTTCTGCATCATTAGGAGGGCTAATTTTAGATTCTCCAGCCCTTGCAGTTCCCCGGGCCGCTCCTGCCCTCACAGCCCGGTGTTTAAACACACGGTCACCTCCGGTCAAACGCCATCCCTCCTCTCCTCCACAGACCCGGCCTGAGGCCTAATCCTGGCCCACCGCACACTGATGAGGTCATGTACACAGACACAAATGGAATGCATTTATTGAGGTTGCAGAGAGGTGGCAGTTTAATCTTTATTTAAAAGTGTTAAATATCAAACACTTTCTGTCTTTTTTGTTCTAAATAACATGTTGAACTCCAACAAGGAGAGGGGAATGGAGAAAGTAAAACCATGTGATACTGTCAACTGACCACAAAAAGCACAAAAAGCAAAAAAAAAAGCACAAAAAAGCACAAAAAAAGCACAAAAAAGTTTTCAAAAAAAGCACAAACAAAGCACAAACAAAGCACAAAAAAGCACAAAAAAGAACAAAAAAGAACAAAAAAAGCACAAAAAAGAACAAAAAAGCATAAAAAAGCACAAAAAAGATCAGTAGTTCAAAACACCAGCAGTTAAGTGATATTAAGAGTTATGGAAGTTAAGATGTAAGGAAAAGTTGGTTGACATAGATGAGAACATTTAAAAAATAAATGAATTCAGATCCTGGAAATTATCTCATTATGTTTACATCACAAATCATCCTGATTTTTCAACCGGCTGGAAACTCTGAGCAGCCATTGGCTGCTCCAAAGGGGGGCTCATAAGGATTATTCCAACTTTCTGAATGAGACAAAGGGGGGGTTCTTAAATATAGACCCACTCAGAGTCAAAATGAAATCTACAAAAATGGAGCTAGGTAAATATTACACAACAGTAAACATGTTCTTTTTTCCTTTTTTTAAAACTATTTTTTTTGTTGTTGTTGAACCTCTACACAAAACCAAAATTCTTGGTCTTAATGGCTAGCAGGAGTTTTTGTTTTTAGTATCTGTTCAACTGAAATCAACTGAAATATCGCAGGCCTTTTATTGTTTTAATATAGCTGATTATGGTATACAGCTGAAAAAAAATAAAAAATCCGATATTCTAATATTTTGAGATAGGACATTTGGGTTTCTTAAGCTGTAAGCCATAATCAGCGATATTAAAACAATAAAAGGCTTGCGATATTTCAGTTGATTTGTAATGAATCCAGAATGTATGACATTTCATGATTTTTAATTGCATTACAGAAAATAAAGAACTTTATCACAATACTCTAATTTTCTGAGACAGCCCTGTATATAAACAAGAAGAGTAGAGTGACCGGCAGGCTACGCACTCGCCCCACAGGAGAGCGGATTTACGCACGGATGTCTGACCCCCCTCCCCACCCCACCCCAACCGGCCCCAGCTGTCAGCTCCCACCCCACCCCCCCCCCCCCCCCCGCCCCCCCCCCACCCACCCCTGCCCACCCTGCCCCCGGTGCCATGGCGTCCAGCGAGGAGGACGGCACGGTGGAGGAGAAGGAAAACAACAACAAGCGGAGGACCAAGAGCGCCCTGGCCACGGCATGGCTCACCTTCTACAACATCGCCATGACGGCCGGGTACGTGCGCGTTTATTCCGGCCCCAGTGGGGGGGGAACACGGGGGGAAACGCGCACCCAGACGCCCAGGGGCGCGTGTTGCCGTTTATAGGACCTGCGTGCGTCCGCAACGAGCCCCAAAGTGCCCGTTCAGATTTGGCACCGCCGGTATGGGCAAAAGTTGGGAAGGCTCCGGGAGATGTTTTGGTTTGGGTTTTCGGTCAAAGGTGCGCAAAAGAGGGGGGAAATGTTGTTTGGAAATGAATGAATGCCTATTTGGACACAGCCCTGAGCCGTGTCCAAATAGGGCTGGCTGCGCGCGGCCAGCGGCCAGGCCCCTCCGCGCCTCCGGCGGTGATAAGTATAGCCGGCCGCTGACACAGGAGCCGGCCGGCCCCAACTGCTCCGTGGGCAGATTTCTACCAACTTTTCGACCCGATACAGCCCGAATAAAAGTGCCCCCGACCCCCCCACCCCCCAAAATAAAGCAAAAATATAGCGGTATAGCAGCTGTAGTGGGCGCAGGAATTCGTCTGGAAACCAGATTCAGTGCGCAAACTTGGCTCACAAGGGCACGTTACATGTTAATTTTGGAAAAAAATAAAGAATACAACCAACAGGACCAGAATAAAAGGGAAAAAATGACATATAGGAATGCTGAATTCATGATGGAAATCAGGAAGGTTGTGTTTAAAGAACCTAAAAAGAGGAAAAACCTTCCTGATTGTCATCAACACACGGTTAAAAAGTTATTGATTTTTTTCTGAGGTGGTGTTTAGTATTTTTGAAATTGAAATTATGTAAATGTCTCCAACTTTACTGATTGTTTTTTGCTCTGGGTGACATCCCATTAACGTTTTTGCTTTAGTTTGTGCTGTCGGCACGCAGGTTTACGAAGGGTTCAGTGATGGAATGAGATCTTTTAACCAGGAGGGAGTAAATCTCAACCTTTATTCTCTCTACCGGCTCACATTTGGGCCAAATATCTGCACCGTCTCTATGCTAACTTAATTCCCAATCCATTTAACTCTCAAAGAGGGAAAAGCCTCAGACCTGGGACTGATGCGGGCTCAGGTGGAGCACACATCCGCCTCTTTTAGTCTTCCTAAAAGGGCCTCTTGACACCCAACCGTCACCCAACATGGCTGCTGGTACCGTTGCCTAACCCATTAAGCAAAGGTCATTTTTAGGTTTTAAGGCTGTATCAGTGTTATGAATAATGCATCTGAGTCCGACTTACTGGTGGACGGTTAAATCCGTGTAATAGTCGTTCCTTTATCGGGGTTTTTATGGCGTTCTGCCTCCGTGTGATGAAGCTCCTTCACCAGTTTTGCTTTTTGATGGATGAATTACTCACAAAGAAATTATATCCTGTTTAATGAATAACCTTTAAAAAAAATGGACCCCATACCTCAACGATAATGTTTTTTTTTTATGTAAGAAGAAGCGTCAACTCTTTTAAAGTGCAAATTAATGAAAAGGAATAAGTCCCGTACAGCCTAATGGCTCTTTTTGCATCTCTCTGTTTTTTTTTTTGCACACAAGTCAATGCCCACAGAATGTTTGACTTGTTTGGGGGGTCTTTTTGTGTTGTTCTTTTGTGCAGGTGGCTGGTATTGGCCATCACAATGATTCGCTTCTACGTCAAGAAAGGCACACACAAGGGTCTGTACAGAAGCATAGCAAGAACACTAAAGTTTTTCCAGACCTTTGCATTAGTGGAGGTAAGACTTTCACAACAAAAACAGGGAAAAAAGCAAAAGAAATAAACTCTTAACTAACTGTATATTGTGTCATTTGTCTTCCAGGTTGGACATTGTGCTATAGGTATGTGTTTATTTAGTCATTTTCTACATCTTCTTACCTCAAATGTTGTTTTTTTTACAAGCTAACATTGACGTGGTGGCTAATTATTATCATTTTTCCAGGAATTGTGAGGACTTCTGTGATTGTAACTGGGGTTCAAGTGTGTTCGCGGATTTTTATGGTTTGGTTTGTCACGAATGGCATCAGACAGGTGAGTTCTACACCCGGTACTATCGGACCTGCTTAAAACTAAACCGAAAACCCACTTATTTTCACACAGCCTCCAATAAGCAAGACTTTGCTTTGCAGAACTCCTGAGTGTTTTTCTATTTTTTATTTCCGAAGATCCAGAATGAAGAGAGCGTGATCCTGTTCCTGGTGGTGTGGACGGTGACGGAGATTACCAGATATTCCTACTACACATTCAAACTGCTCAACCACCTGCCGTACTTCATCAAATGGGCCAGGTGCGGATGCTGCCGGCCGTTGGCTGGGATCTGACCCCCCTAGAGACTCGCTTTTCCATCCGGAAGCATGGGAATGAGTACTACTAACCGCCCTGGTTCTGCTTTGACGATCCTGATTGCAGAAATGAGCTGACCTAGAGGTCTAATGGGTTCTTTTGGGCACCTCAACTCGTGTCCGTCTCATTGGTCGGCCTTTGGATCTGTGGATCACATGATCCCCGGAGGTCCGTTTGGGCCCGTGTCAGAATTTCCTTTGTGTCTCTGATCTGGATCCTTCCACCCTGAGAACACTCAATCTATTCATGCCAACACTCACTTCTAGGGTCAATTCAAATATGTCTTGCTATAATCAATCAATCAATCAATCAATCACTTTATTTTGGTAAATTGTCCACATTAAACACAAGAAACAACAAAAGAAAAAAAGAAAAGAACAATAGACAAACCCACAGTTTACCAAAAAAGGAATAGGCCGAAGCAAAGCTTATTCTTGCCTACCCTATTTTTTACCTTACAACCTACCGGGATTTCTTCAAATTCAGATTCAAGTACATAGTACATATATAGATCTACATAACAGCGTAAGATTTGATCATTTTACATTTTAAAGCTCTTTTAAAGTTCACCAAGAAAGGACATAACTTAAATTCATCATTCAATTCATTCCATGCTATAAAGTGTAAAAAAAGAATGAATCATATCAAAGCTCTTTATATTTCATTAGAAAAAATGTTGTTCACACCACACACACGCACACACACAGACACACACACACACACACCCCGTGTGCCTTCCTTTAAGCGTGAAGGAGACGGCCCCGGGAGAGCGGTTTCATGTTCAGCTGCTCCTGTTTTTAAGGCCGGCTTTTTTCGGTCATGGAATGTCCACCCAACATTTCTCTCACATCCGTTCCCGGGGACGCTCCCCGGAGCCCTAACGGACTAAAAGCGGGATCCCTGAAGTCCCCGGTCACTGCGTGCTCTGTGGTAGCCCTATTCAGGACGCTGTCTCCCGCAATGGACACGGCCAAAAGTCCTTCTATCCCCCTAAGATATCTCCGAGTATGGATCTAAATTAGGAGATAATCTGTATTTTAAAGGTAAATGCCCAGTGGTAGAAGTAGTAGTAGAAGTCACCCAGGCCTACATTTGGCACTGTTCCAGGTCTTTATCACCGTCCATCATTATTTCCACAGCCTCTTTCCAAGGATTGTGTGTGTGCGTAGTCACGCATACCATAAATCACAGATATGGAGATTCATACAACGCTTTTCTGCAGGCCGGAAAACTCTGGCTGACACATGGTGTCTGGGGTTGTAAAAAGAGCACTGGGGAGGGAGGTTTTGAGTCTCAGTCAAAGCTTCAAACTGAGTTTCAGTAAAGAAAAAAAAAGCTTGTCTGGGAAAAAGCTCATAACGGAAATAATATTCTTTTTTTAATTTTTTAAATATTTTTTTCATAATATTCTTGTCGTTTTCTGATTTGGTGTGCTCTGCTCACTCTGCTCGCTGGCCTGTGTGTGTGTGTGTGTGTGTGTGTTTGTTTTCATGATATATCAGGACAATTTTGCGAATACACACCTTCAATATCAGGACGCGTAGAAATATGAGGACACTTTTCATGTCCTCATTTTTCTGAGCATACGAGAGTGTTCTAGAAGCCCCAAAATACCTCTAAACCAAATATCTCTATTGTCCTAAG